TGAAGCAAATAGGCCGGACATTATTGTCAAAAAATAAAGAAAAAACTTGCCTACTAATTGATATGGCTTGTCCAGCGGATTGTAACATAGCAACCAAGGAATTTGAAAAACTATCAAAATAAAAAGACCTGGAAATTGAAATAGAAAAATGTGGAAATTGAAAACAAGAATAATACCAGTGGTAATAGGTGCACTTGGAATTATAAAAAATGGAACAAAACAACACATTGAAAGAATCCCTGAAAACCCCAGCTTAAGAGACATACAGAAAATTGTCTTATTAATTACAGCACACACTAAGGAGAACTTTGTCTATGTAACGCTAGCAACTTCATTTTGATAAAAAAAAAAAAAAAAAAAAAAACATGAAATGTGGCCATAACAACACACCACGACCTGCCTTAGGTCTTTCCACGCAGACTTGGTAGGTAGTGTGTCCATAGCAGAAATCGAATGATGATGATGATAATAATAATAATAATAATAATGAAAATTTTAAATAAAATAATATTTACACTTTATGTAAAATAAATTAAATAAAAAAGGTAATAAAATAACTCCCATCATGCAACAAAAACTGATCTTGTCAGAAATACGGGCAACAATAAATGCAAAAAAAATGCCTGTATGTGAGATTTATTCTTGAGCAAGAAAATTCAGTATTCAACACGTATGTAACTTATATTCTGTGATATGAAAAATAACTACGGAGTAAATTTCTCCCTTTTAACATTTACCAAAAACACAAAACGTAAAAATACACACACACTTAATACATAATAAATATATAAATAAATTGACAACAATTTACTACTATTGTAAAAAGTTTATTTTTAGTTTTTATTATTATTTTTAAAATGCAATTACTGCTACTATGATGTAAATGAATAACCCATAATTTACTATTTTATAAAGTTTGAATCAATTGGCAATTAGCCACTGTTTTGCCAAACATTCCAAAAAAATAACCTAATAAATAGTGAAAAAAAAAACAATCTACAAAACAAATACTGCTTATTATTTTTGTTGTCAGCTGTCAAGAAAAAAGAAAATGTATATATTTCATATATCTGGGTCTTATTACCATTCTAATCATTGATTTTGAAAGCAATAAAAACATTGTCGAAGAGTGAAGAAAGTTAAAATAATATTGGTGTCAAGGGAAAACCGTTCTTTTAACACGCTGTTTTCTTTCAAACATAAAGGTTCAAGGTTGCTGAAAAAAAGGAATCAGTGGAGTGATTTAAGGATTCCTTATATTTCACATGTTTTAATAATTTAGTAAATGTTTATAAATTTATGAATAAAAAATATGTTCATATTTATTTCTTTATAAATTGGTAAATAATAAATATTTCATTAGTTTCAATTGTATTAGCTTTAGAATGTTGTAAATATAAAATTCTTGTGAATAAAAATCTAATAAATTTGTGATTAATATTTTTGTCAATTCTCAAAAACAAAACAAAATGTATAAATTCACTTTCATCATGTTTAGGTTTTATTACAATTCTAATCATTGCGTTTTAAAACAATAAAACCTGTCAAAGAGTGAAAAAAGAGTCATGGGAAAAATCTGACCCTTTGGCATGTTTCTCCATGTTCGTAAAAAGGAAAAAAGAAAAAACAATGAAAATTTACCCGTGATTTTTTTTCTTTTTAATAAGCTTATATACTTTCAGAAAAAAACTTAAGAAATAGAAAAAGAACTAATAAATTTAAAAAAAGCATGTTTTAACCTTCGTAATTCAAATGACGCCATCGCTCCTTACGACGACGCCCTAGAATCGACCATTGAAAAAAAAAACATAAAAATATCAATTTTTTTTTTCGGCTAATATGTTTCCTGCTTTCTCTTTTGAATTATTTCATCCCAAACAAGGCAATAAAGCCACTAAGACAAAAGAGGGTTACCGAAGTTGACTGGAAAGCAAGTAACCAGAGGAGAGTTCTAAAAGCGAGAGAAGAAACTATTAGCATAGAATTTACGGTTACATCTAGCCATTTCAAATGTTGAGACTTCAAAAAGAATTCAAATTATAGAAATAAAAAATTCTCAAATAGAAATATCAGCAAAAATATTTCTCTCTTCTTTCTTCCTCTCACAACATATAAAAAATGGAGTCACCCCTTTTTTCGATTCCTAGAACCGAACAGCCAGTCTACTCTTTTGGATTTTATTATAGTAGTGAGAGCTTTGTACTAAAATTTGACCATTTTTCGGAAGAGCCGAATACAGAGAACTGACGCACATAGTGTGCCACAAGGTTTCCTAAAGAGTCTTCTCTCAATATATAATATTCAGATTGCGTGCTCTCTCTTTCTTTTTCTTGCCTATTTCTCTCTCTTTTATTCACACACACACACACAAATATATATATATATATATATATATATATATATATATATGATAATGATAAAATATGGTAATCCGTATGGAATTTCCAGGAGTATATAGATCCAGGGAGAGTTCTATGTCAAAAGATAGAGCAAAATTATTATTAATTAAAGAATATTAAACACTTAAGTAATAATTTTTTTTCATGTTTCAAAAATGGAAGCTAAAATCTTCGAATTTAATTTTGTAATTAAATTAAAGAAATTAATTCAATTTCATCCTCAAGCGAATTTTGGAGTACCTTATTTTTAAAATTACTGGGTTTTAAAGGCACTGCAAAAATTCATAATTCACGTTTCCAAGGATAAAGACCAATACATTCATCCAGACAAGGAGTGGTTGCGCGTTCATTATCGCTGTATTATTAGTTAATTTAAAAAAAAATTTCGTTTAGGTAGGGGTAGCGAAAATACCATATTTTAAATCAGTTAATTTATAATATAAACTAGCAGCTTGGTCCTAATATATGCCCTGTGCTTAATTCAAAAATCGTTACGACTCATACAGCAATCGCTATCACTTGACTTAAAATATTTTGCCCTTCCTTGCCTTTAAAGGTGCCCTTTGCCGTGCTGATGATGCTACATGCCTTACTTCTTGCCTATCTCACACTGCGAATTTTTTCTAAGCTCTATTAAAACATTAAATCTGTTATGAAAAAAGAACTAAACAAAATGAACACAAAACGATCAGCTTTAAAAAAAAAAGGACTCGTAACTGGAAAAACCGAATGAAAAAAAAAAGTTAACAACAAATACTTTTTCACACCAAACCCAGTTCTGCGGAATCAGAATCAACGTTGAGTTTAAGCAAGCAAATGAGCCAATTGGAGTAAAGTGCCATGTAGATTTAAATTTTTCCCACTTGTAACGAATGCAGCTATCGATTTTTTTTTGCATGCTAGCATGCTAGTTAACATTCGTGCCAGTCAGCTGTTGGCTCTCACGCTGGCCAATAGAATCTTCCTGCCTATTTGTGGCAGCCAGCTATAGGCTCTCACTCTGGCCAGTACAAAATGGCCGCAAACTACATGAAAACTGCCGTAGAAGCATGAAAAAATTTATTATTTCCACTATCGATGGGAGTTGGGAAATGCAAAGTCGGTCTTGGCCTTCTTGCTAACTTGGAGCATGTGCATGTAAATTTTGGTGCAAATCCGTTGAAAATTGCAGCCGTGCATTCGTTACACACATCCTGCCTTTTATAGATAGAGATATCCTGCAACAGAAATCTGTGATGAGGAATAATAGCAAAAATGGCAAACACAACACAAGAGAAGACACGGGTCGAGAATCATAAAATGTTTATTGCAAAAAAAGCATGTTACGGCTTATCCCGGGCCTACACAATATTTGTGTTGTGTACCGAAAATATGAATTTTTTGGGCATAATAAAAAATGAAATAAGGAAAAAACGATTACTCTCATGCACATTGTAAAAAAATTCCTTTCCCTTATAAATAACAATTTTGATTCTATCTTGGGGCCCCATACGTTCGGCTTTGTGCCACATCTAAGTTACCCTTAGCCAAACAAAGGGTACTTCGACGTGGTGTAATGGTTAGCAAGCTTGTCTCGCTAGAACAATTACGGTTGAGTAGTGAGTTTGATCCTCACTAGGTACTCCTTACTTTAGGCCTTTGTTTTTTTATCTAAGCTACGGTTAGAAATTCATCATTACAAATAACAATATAAATCAAATTAACCTTGAGGGGCTAAAAAAAAAGCTCTTTTAAAAACAATTACTTAAAGTTTAATATAAACAAAAAAACGGGTAATTTCCCGAATACATAGAGATTTTCTAAGCGTATCTAAGATGTGGCACAAGGCCGTAAAAATGTGACACTTAATGATGATCGAAATCACTACTCAGTCGTAATTGATCTAGCGAGATAAGCTTGCTAAAATGAAACCACTTTGAAGCGCCTGAATTTCCCGAACGCATGCAAACGAATACATTAGTATCCAGTGTTCTTTATTTACCTTTTAAATGGTAAATATCCTGACAAGTTCCAAATATAGAAAACCGAACAGTAAAAGAAAGAATATTTTAATTCTTGAAGGACTTTACATTTGGGTAAACAGGGTTTCTTTAGCTATGGATAGTTAGTAATTGGATACAGATAGGAATTCTCTGTAGTCACTTCTAATAACTCCAGTTGGAATCCGAAGTGCCCATTCTTCTTGCAGGACCAGGAATTTAAGCTGGGAGCGACAATGCGTCCTGAAGTTAGTCCTAGTAGTTTTACAATTCCTTCATTAGGTATCACAGGGTCCTTATGAAGAAAACTTTCATAATCAACCAGGATGTTCACTGGGGGCTTGGTGTGGATTGATCGATATAGACGCGATGTCATTAAACCCTCAGACCGCTAAGATAAATGACGTGGACTAGCGTAGAAAACATTCAAGGGGACAAGCGATTGATAGCTGATTGGCCAAGAAAATTGTGATGTCTACAGAATTTCATCAGTAGAAGATGAGTTACGTCTTCAAAACCCGGAAATTAATTCAATTTGAAATCAATAAAAATATTTTATATAAAAAATCTTCCTTTTTTCATTCTGCATTAAATGGGCTTTAAATGGATAACTAAATGAAAATTATTTTATTAGATAGATAGATAGATAGATAGATAGATAGATAGATAGATAGATAGATAGATGTAAGAATGGTCCAACATGTCC